CAATTTATTAAATACATTATACATTGAACATTAACAGTTTAAATACAAAATTTTAAATCAATAAAACATAGTCTCCGCTTTTTAAGGAAAGTTTAGTTAATCTAAGTTTTTAAAACAATATAAAAAATATACTTTGTATGTTTTTTAATTTTTTTTAATTTTGCCATTTGTTAAAAATTACAAAAAAGAAATTACATTAATAAAAAACCCTGGCCGGAGCAACAAGAAGACAAACTTGTTCTACCGGAGCAAGGAGAAGACAAACTTGCTCTATCGGAGCAAGGAGAAGACAGACTTGTCTTTAGCAATAAAATAAATTTTTGCTAACAATCTTCCAGCGGAATAATTTGAAAATAAAAAATAAAATAAGGGTCTGTTCGCACGCACATCTTATTATAGTCTATTCGCGCGTTTAAAAAAAATTTTGAGTTATATTTTTAATATGAAATCTCTCACAAACAAAAAATGTTTATAACTCAAGTCATATATTTTGAAAGCAATTTAATTTTTTTAATCAATTATAATAAAAATAAATAAAATTACTTAAACATAAATAATTTTTTTTTCATAAAACAAACAAAAACGTGCTAATAGGTAAAATAAACATTAGGAAATACCTCTTTTTTTTAATTAAAAGACTGCCTGCCCAAGCCATTGTATTTATACTACACTGTGCCTATCCCTAGATAAGCAGTCAATATGCATATACACTACGGTGCGCATATACTTCAAAAGTCAGCCAACGTAAATACTGCATTAGTACTCCACTGTACTAATGCAGTATTTACTCCACTGTACTAATGCAGTTTAATTTTAAAATTCAAAACTAATAATAATAAATCAAATTTTTTTAAATTCCCTTTAAATTCGATGATCTTTACCTTTTTTTTAATTAAACGTGCGAATAGACTATAATTAAATATAGTCTACTCGCACAAGAAAAACGTGCGAATAGACACTCCGATAAAATAATACAAAAGTAAGATAAAAGACGTGAAAGTTATTTCACGACTATCTCACTTTATATAGTCGACAAAACTTTAAACAAAAAAGGAAAACAGCTAGTGAAAAAAAGGAAAACAAGAAACAAAAAAGGGAAACAGTTAATGAAAAAAAGGAAAACAAGAAACAAAAAAGGAAAACAATTAGGGAAAAAAAGGAAAACAAGAAACAAAAAAGGAAAACAGTTAGTGAAAAAAAAAAACAACCTAAATTAGATCACTTGTTAATTCAAAACTTTTACATCGTTTTTAAAAAAGATATTTGAAATCTAATATAGGAGTTAGCAAAAATGTTTAATAAATGCCGTTTTGAATTTTTGCCGTTTTAATTTTTTATTTTATATAAGTTTTTAGAACAAAAACCTTAAAATTTTTCAAAGTGCAACTTAAAACAACGTCTTGTTTTTCATAAAAAATATAAAGAAAATTTTTCCAAACAAAAGGTCCCCGATATTGAATTTGGTACGAGCCTAATTTAAGATGATTTATGGGAATGACAAAGTTATTCACTGAAAATTTGGTAGGATATTTATGAGAGACTTGATTAAAGTAAGATTAAAATAGAGATAAACCACGTTTTGCTTTAAACATAAATAACACTTGGTGAATATTAATCTTATAAATATTTAAAGCTTCAAGTTTGACCAAGGACCTAAACCTAACCGAAAAGTGGTTCGCAATGTGCATTCCTGTTTGCCCCAAATTTTATTCTGCAAGCATTTTTTTGTTTGTTATAGATTTTTTTGAGTTTAGTGTGATTAGTGCTACGCCAGGTAACGTTAGAGTAAGAAAGATAGATGTGTATGAACGAAAATTTTTTATTTTAAAGATTGATAATTAAGAAACGGTTTTGTTCGATATAACATGGAAATGTTACTTTCTATATTATTAATATGGTATTTCCATGACAATTTTTCACCTAAAAACACTCCTAGATATTTTATTGTTAATTCCCTTTTAATTATTATGTTATTGATTAAATTGATCGGGCAGTTTAAGAGAAATATTACGAGGCTTTACGAGGATACGGAAAATACTACGAGGATATGGATAAACTTTGTCTTATCAGTGTTTAATTAAAATCGGTTACTTTTAAACCATTCGTTGATCTTATTTAATTCTTCGATAAAAATTTTAAAAAGAACAATTTTAAAAAGAACAATAATATCTTCATCTTTTGATTTCAAAAATCTTACATGAAGTTTTTGGTTTCTTTTAGACGATTTTGTAAGGTTATTACATGGATTTCATTGATCATTCATGGTTTTTTGAACTTTTTATTTCTTACTTCAAATGAGGAGTGAATTTTCAAAACCAGATAATTCACTCTTTTTTTCATTCTGAGATAATGGCAAAAAATATTTTCCAGTAAATCGAATAGCTAAAAATTAAAAAATTAAAAGTTAAACGGTAGATATCATTAAAAGAATGTTTCAGACAAAAATTTGAGAATCGTGCTCTATTGATCTTATTTTTATTACAAAATATAAAAACGTTTTATCTGGTTTTGCATGCCAATTGTTCTGGTTTAGCATGCCAATTATTTTTTTTTATCTGGTTTTGATCGGAAATTAATTTCTAACTGGTTTTTAAAAAAGCTTTACAATGTTAACTTGACTAGCGAGAATTTTAAAAATCAAAATAATTATGCAAAACGTCCCTCTGCCATAGAAAATAAGTAATTTCAATGTTTGATACTTTTATAGGATTGATGAAGTTAAAATTCAATTGTAACTGTTTAAATATGGCTTTTTTAATTTGTTTTGTATATGATTTTTTTCTTAAAGAACGCCCTCCAGTTTTTTAAAACGTTTGTAAAACAGAATGTTGATTAGATAAAATTTGTCTTGCTTGCATCGACAATTTTTTTTTTTTCAACTGGTTTTGCACGGACTAAATAATTTAAGGGAGGTAAAATGTTATTAAAATAGTGGTTTTTAAATTTAATTTTTATTTGTAATGATGTAGGAATATTAATACTACAAAAAAAAAATTATATATTTTTTTTTTTAAAAACTGAGTTATCTGGTTTTGCAAATCCACTCCTCAAATGTTATTGTTGGACAATATTAAAAATTAAAAAAACTTTTTTCTTTTAAATTTATATTTACGTTATCTATGAATAGATTTGGAAAAAAAATCGATAAAAAATATATATTTATAAAAATACCATACAAATAGGGGAAAGCGGGGCAACATGGCGAATGGGGCAAGATGGGTTTTCATATAACAACTGAACAAAAAATCTTGAAATTGTGAAAACAAAACTGTTTTTGCATCTTGTATTTTAAAACACCAATTGGTTTTTTGAAATATTATTAACGCAATTTTATATGCGTAAGTTTACTTTTTGCGCTTAAAAAAAAATCATCACTTTCGGTTTCTTCAAGTTTAACTTCTTTATAAATAGTTTTTTGCGATTTGTGTTTATTTCTTGTTACTTTAGTTAGTTTAGTTATTGGTAGTTTTTAAAATTTTATAAAATTGGAGGTAAAAATTGCATTGTAAGTCATCTTCCCCAGTCACGTGACCAGTTGACAAATTTATGAACTTTTTATTTTAATATTTATTCAAAAATATTATATTTGCAAACTGAAAATTCATGCTGACAATGAATCATTTTAATAACATAAACATACTGAGAAAGTATTACGGTTTCACAACTGATGGTTTTGCAATAACTCGGGGCTTTCAAAGCGTTCGCCATTTTACCCCGCTTCCCCTAATACTATAAACAAATCTGATGGTAAATACGCAATTTTTATTTTATTGAAGAGGAAAGAGAGAGAGAGAGAAGGGGGGGGGAGGGGTTAGTGTAACGTGTTCTTTATTTTTTCACGATATCTTTACATTTAATGCGGTAGTGCTGTAGTGGTAGAGTACTCGCTTCATAAGCAAGAAGTTACGAGTTCAATCCCCACCACAACCCTGGTAGTACCTTGTTCAACTTGTTTCTTTGCGCAGCGGCCTTGTTTGTCAAGGTTCGTGTTTCGGAGATAAAGAGTTGAGAGAGGGTTGTAGCCACAACTGAAGTAGCCTCCTCCGAAGGCCTCGGGAGATGCTTTCAAACTGAAAAAAAATTAGTACCTTTTTATATTTTTGTAAAATATATTTTAAATGTTGCATTAAAAAACAAAAAAAAAAAGTCCTTAAAAAAGATTTTTTAAAGTCATTTAAACGAAATATCGTTTTGTTTCTAGAGTTAGTTTACGGTGATTAACGTGTAACAGTAAAAAGTATAACTTAACTTAACAAATTTTAATAATAAGAAGCCGCGGTGCAGTGGTTATTGTTTTGGCTCGGAACCAAGATGTCCAAGGTGCGATGCTTCTGCCATATTGGCAGATATTGGTAGACGTGAACTTTCTAATTAAAATCACTTCTGCGATGCTGTGATAAAACCGTGAAGCACCTTAATAACCACACACAATAATAAAATCTTCAGTTTCATAACCAATACAAAAACCATGAAACTTCAGTTTCATAATCAATACAAAAACCATGAAACTTAGATAACACGTTGATGTAGTAAAGTATATATATCCTGTCTTATTTTCTTAAGAAAAATGTCCGAAATATTTTAATTTTTAAAAGGAACATAATTAAAGGGATTTTTTAAAGAAACAATAACTTGTTATATAATTATTAATAAGTTGATAATCTTTTTGTATAATACTTATGAAGAAAATTTTAAATCATCAAAAGTTTGAAACTATTTTTTTGATCTTTAAAACAGTTTTAAAACATTTGTCAAAATTGCTTCTAAATTCAGAGTAATTCCTTTTATAGTATTTTAGTAACACTTTTTTTAACACTTTTTTAACAATTTTTATTTAAAAAGTAAATTTAAGTAACACAAGTTTTTTTTATTTAAAATTTTTTTAAATAAACTATAAAATATGATATAGCAAAATGTTACATCATTTTGTATTAAGTTTATTTCTTTTCACGATAAAATAAAAAATGTACTGAAATAGTTATATTTATATAAAAATAAAGTTGTTTAAACTCATTTTTATTAATATGTAATAACATACACTATATGTTCCAAGGATCATATACTCCAATAATCAAAGATTTATAAAAAAATGTATATATATAAATATTATCCAAGATCATATCGAAGCTTCGATTTAAAAATTTTTTGTTACTAATATTTACATTAAAGAACAATGAAAATGGATACTGTTTGTAGGTAAAAATAAATCAATGCTTTTTAGGACGTTTGAAAAAGAAAAGTTTATTCGCTCGGTTCATTTAAAGTTGGAGCATCCTTGAAGATCGGTTTTAAGCTCTTGCGAGTCAAGCCCCAGAACTTTGAAGGAGTTAATCCTTTATGAGTTGCAGTAAATTTCCAACCTAGATCTTTGTGGCAACACTTACATAATGCTATGGTCCACGCGTAGCTAAAATTTAAATTTTTTTCAGATTTGCTTTGTTTGAAAAATAAATAATTCAAAACATTAAACACTAAACATTAGCACGATACGCCAACAACTTAAAAACACAAATAATGGACATTGCAGTTATGCTAACGTCAAAATAAAAAAAATATTTTTAACATCAGTAACGCATGTAAACAGAACCATAACACAAAAATAAATAAATCCAAACCCTGGAAACCAGCTATATTCTGTAGAAGGTCTTCCAGTAAGAGATATGTTAGAGGCTTTATAAAAAGTAGCTGTTTCGTGAACATATCCATAGGAGTTTACGTAAGCAGCCATAGGACTTCGTTCCGATAAGCTAAAATAAAAAAACTTTTTTTATCAGCTGCGACATTTTATCGTACGTCTCTAGAATAAAAAAAATTTGTTAAACGTATGTTTAAAGCAATGAGTTGCTTCATACAATTTGTTTTTAAACAAACAATTAAAGGCGTATAAACCTTTAAATAATGTCGTAGATCAGATACATGTTTAAATAATGCATATTGGCCGGAAGGTGTACAAAGGTTTGAATTATGTACTGCGAAAAAGCATGTAAATATTTTAAGATAATGCAGTAATTTGGTAAAAACACGCTTACACCACAATGTTAAAAAAACATAAGATTCAAAAAATTTTTTTTCATATAATAATAAAAATTATGTAGTCAACTTTAGTACTAGAGTAAATTAAGGTAACGCCTGTTGGAGATGTTCCAAATGAAAATCAACGATAGGCCTGTTGGATATCCAGATCAAAATCGTCTTGACAACTGAATTGAAAAACATTTGAAACAAAAATGTATAGTGTCATAATAAAGTTTCCGTATTAATATATTCTTTCTATTCAATGATGATGAGTTCCTTAAGAAGATCTTCATGATAGAAGATCTTTTTAAGAAAATCACATAATATAAATAGAGTTGGCAGATAAGAGATTTATAGCAAAGAAAAAAATTTAATTTAACAATCAGCAGCCGTACTCACATCTCTCCGTTAAACCCTGTGATAAGCTAACGGCTGGTTAAAAGTAAAACGACAGTTTTTAACGCCATCGATAAAATGAACTCGTATTCTAATCTCTCCATTTGATTAACGGCAGGAGTAAAGGAGTATGTCCTATTTATTTGCAGTATAGACAATAAGGCTGATTTTACATAACTGATTCAACTTAATATATATGTACTTTCTCTACGTTTTTAATCAATATATTTTCATTGATGATTGGAGAAGTAATTTTTTTAAAGTTGAACAGTTAAATTGAATTGTTTGAATATCTATTCAAAAACGGCTAAACGCATTGTATTCTGTGTCAAGAGTACTGAAAGTTAATGTATCATTTGGTTTTAATCTCATAGCAAGAAGAATCCATATAGTTTTTATTCTATCCCATTCACAACTTTCAATAAGAGAATGTTTATCAACTATGTGGATATATATTTTTATTTTTTGTTTGTTATCTTGTAATACACTTAATTTTTCGACAATAAAGTTTTAGCACCAAATAGCCAACAAAAAATAATCAATTATGCAAGTGTTTTGAGTGATAATATTTTGGTATAGTTAACACAGTAAAAAATATCCATTTAAAAATTATCTTTATTTAATGTCACCCTAGTTTTTGTAAATGCTTTGAAAACAATCTAAAGTTCAATTCATTAATTTTTTTTTGCAGATTTCTTATTCAATAGTGAAATACTTAATTCATAACTATATATATTCGATTCTACATCAGATTTAGTTTTCTTGGAGAAAATAAGATCTAAAATAGACTCATTGACATATCTCGTTTTATAGTTTCATTCTGTTCTAATATTTCTTTTTGAGATTCGCATTCTAATTTATTTTCATTTAGTAAAAAAAAAACAGCCTTGAGCCTGGATTTGAAAGATTCACCATATACTTTCCACAACACAAATAAATATGATTCTAGCAATGTGACTACATCAACCACACGTTGTTAAACCAGAGAACCCACATGCTCAAGACAATACCGATTCTGGACTATCGATGTTTGGCAAATACTTAATAAATACCTTATACTCAGCAGCATTTTCCTCAATCCTTTATCTAAAACTAATAAATCATTGGATTGAACTAGTTCTCTTAAGTTGCTTTTTGTTTTTAAAATATGTCTTAATATAGTTGCGTCATTAATAGTTACAGCAAAAACTCCCTAAACATCAATAGTAAAACCATTTGCAGTGCATATTACAAAAGGATAAACTAAATTTTTTTTGTACAGGTTTCGTTGTAAAGAATTATTTGAACTTTTTTCACAGAATAAATAAGAACCATCGGCTATAATTGGTAGTTGTTCGTCTTTTAAGTCAAACAAACCTTTGATCATATCTGTTTTATTTAAAAGCCAATCTTTCCATGATCGTAAATTTGCTCCTAAATTTTTACCAACAAAATCAGCATTAAGCAAGGCTTATCTGATGGCAATATTTCTGAATTTACCATGCAGTTTAACAATACAGTGCAGAATGTGCCTCTAATTAGAAGCACATTCTGCACTGTAATGTAGAATAAAAAAACCAGTGACAAATTTTTTAAAAATCTTTTATAATCTGGAAATAAGTATATAATATATAGCAATATATACACATAGCACATAGCCACAATAAGTTCCAGTTTGATGAACTGTTTTTCAGTTATTCTGTCTAAGTAATGTCATTTTTAACAAATCAAAGAGAAATCAGTTTTCATGTCAAAAATTTTTTAATTGTTATATAACTTGAAGACATTTTTTGTTTGAGCTAATTCAAGAGCTAACTTATTATAATTACTTTACAGATAATGAATAAAAATAGGAACAATATACTTCTTAAACTTTTACAAAAATCCGGGAGATACTGTCTATCTGATTATCTTCATTATCGCAAGGATCTAAACATTTTATTGTCTTCGCAAACTTTAAACTAACCAACCTTTTTTGTTCCCTAATGAACTCTGATAACCTTTAAATTCTTTTTTAACTTCACTTTCTATTTTTGCAAAATAATTTTTGCGCAACATTTTTTGAACATGCAATCTTTTCTGATCATTGAGAAAATTGACATCTCAACTTTTTAAAACTTGTGTTTTATCTTTCAAGATGATGAGTTTTTTTATTTTATCATTAAACAAATTTTTTAAAACCACATTTTTGACTTTATGGTTTTGTGTTTGTTTAAATTCTTTCTACTCCTTTTTTTAAGTCAACATTTTTGTCTCTAAATGGAATATCAAAAGTAAAAGAATACATTAAAGATATTGTAACAAAAAACATTTATATATTGATAATTTTATCATAAAAACATATTACTATATTATTTAGTTAATTTAAATTTGGACTGAATTGTAAATTTATAAGCATTTTACTATAATATAGTAAAAATTTGATATAGTCAGTACTTTCTTCACATAATAAAGGGCGCATTGTACATTTTTTTTATTATGAGACAACCTGCTATTTCAATACATTAAGCCGTAAAATAATAGACATGATTTTAATTGTAGAAATGTTTGTAAAATTAACACATAGGTTAACCTCTGTAATACAGTTTTATTGGTTATGTTTTATGTGTAATGTGTTATATATAATATTATTCTTTGTCCACATAAAAAACTTCAGAATGGGATTTTTTTTTTTAACAATTGCTTGTTGACATTTTTTTTATTTACAAAAAAATTAAAAAAATTTCACAAAATTCTTTTTCTTAATGGTTGTAGCTGATCATTGTTTAAAATCTAAAACAACTGATAAAAAATCTTGGATAAAAACTATAAAGTAGTCTTTCTTTAAAGAAAAATTGCACAATTACAAAAATGTTTTATAATTAAAGTACATAAAAAAAAAAAAATGCCCCCCCCTCCACCTCTCAAATATATGGATGATTGCAAATGGTTAAGATCAACCCTTCCCATCATTTTTACCAAAAAAAACAACATAATCTAAAAGTAGATAGATCAAGCTACAACTCTCATGGTATTTTTGAAATTTTGTTAAGCGAACCTGGTATTTTTGAAACTTTGTTAGATGCCCCTATTATCAACGCAAAAGCTTGAATTTTTTGTTATATATATGTATATATATACACTATACATACATACATATATATATATATATACATACATACATATATATATATATATACACTATATATATATATATATATATATATATATATATATATATATATATATATATATATATATATATATATATATATATATATATATATACACATACATAAATATATGTATATATACATACATATATATGTGTGTATATACATATACATAAATGCATATATACACATCTACAAATATATAAACATATTATATAAATATTTATAGATATGTACATATATAGAATATATGTACATTTATAAATGTATATATATGCATATATATGTATACACATGTATATAAATATATTTTATATATGTATATTCACATACATATATATTATGCAACCAAATAATGCTAATTTAGTTTCTTTATATAAAAGTGTTGCATTTTTTCAATTTAGAGAAATAACTATGTAACTGTTTAGAGACAACTTTCTTCAGGTTTTATTCATCACAAAGTTCATTATTTGTACACGAAAATTAATATGTTAATCAAAAGTATTAAAAAAAGTTGATTTCCTTCTGGACACAACAAGTGCAACTCCACAAAACGTTGACCAAGCTGTATTTCGCTATCAATATTTCATGGCAAATCCTTTGTTGTTGAGCCTGCATCTTTGAGACATAGATTCGAGCAGGTGATCAATGAAACTTTGTGGAATTGCTGCCCAGGCCTTTTGGATTTGTTCAAACAGTTGATCCTTATTACTAACACCATCACAATTAATTCTGCGGTTGCCGATCTCCCACAGGTTCTCGATAGGGTTTAGATCCGGAGATTGAGGCGGCCAAACCATCACCGATAGATGGTTGTCTTAAAACCACTTCTAGACTACTTTTGCAGTGTGTTTCAGATCGTTGTCTTGCTGAAAAATCCATTTTATTGGCATATTTCATTCAGCATGAGGTAACAACATCTTTCAGGATATTTTTATACATGAAACGGTCCATTATTTCATTGATTGATATTCCGATGTATTGGACCTAGACCGTTAGCAGAAAAACACCCCCAGACCATTACATCGCCTCCACCATGCTTCACGGTCTTATGGCAGTAATGTAAATCAAGGCGTTTTCCGGCCGGTCGACATACACGGCAAATGCCATCGCTCCCAATGATGTTGAACTTTGATTCATCACTAAACAGGACAGTTTGCCATTTCTGCACATTCCAGTCAATATGAGATGTAGCAAATCGATATGAGATGTAGCAAACAGGAGTCTTTTTTTCTGGTTCTTTGTGAAATCAGCGGTTTTGCAGGATGTCGAGAAAACAATCCGGCTTCAACAGCATGTCGTCTGATTGTCCGGTCTCTAATTGCTTTTGTATCTAGACTGATGATATCCAGGGATTCTTCTCGACGGATCTGACAATCATAGAATCCTCTCTAGAAGTGGTGGAATGCGGTCTTCTACCTTTTTTATCTGCTGCCAACTTCCCCATAGAACGATATTTGGAACATAGTCTTGATACGGTCCATTTTTTCATGTGATATTTATCACAAATACTTTTTTGTAACATTCCACTTATGTAATCGCCAATAATTTTCTTTCTTAGTTCCAATCCAAGACTGTCGGGAGCCATTTTTGCACTTGAAGTAATAAAAATAATAAAAATAAATAATCAGGCTTTTCAAGGCTTACCGTGTTACATTTACCTTGTGATGATACAATAATGCTCTGTGGAACACAACGTCTTGGTTGGATGTGGACTGTATTGATGTAATGAAACACTTGTTGTATTTCACTTCTTGTAATGATGTTCTTCAATAAAACACTTTGATAAAACTCACTTCGATAAATTGTCTTGATAATACTGACTGATTGACTTCCATATACTGACTGAACTGCATGTCAGTTTACATGTCTCTTATATAGTAAAATGAACCTGTGTGAATCTGTTCTGGAAAGTTATAGATGCTTCTTTTCGATGCTTCTAGAAGCTTCTAGATGCGTCTGGATGCTTCTGAATGCTTCCAGATGCTTCTTCTGCAAACTTCTGGAAGGTTCTGCATGCTTCTGGAAACTTCTGGATACTTCTTTTTATTATTAAAAAACTTCCGTGATGTTGACACGGACCAGACTTAAGAAAATGAAACAAACCGAAAAAGTTGCACTTGATTTGTTCGCTGCAAAATGGCACTTGCCAACGAAATTCTGCCTGTGTGCTGTCACCTGTCAGCTGATTGCTCATGTCATGGCATGCTATGACTCCAGAATCCTGAACTGTTTGCTGTAGTAGTATAGTTCGTTTCGTTTTTAAGATATGTAAAATTTAGGAAAACTTTTTAGCATTGTTTGATGTTGGTTACAAATGTGCTGTCCTATACTGTGTGTGTGTGTATATATATATATATATATATATATATATATATATATATATATATATATATATATATATATATATATATATATATATATATATATATATATATATATATATATATATATATACATATATATATATATATATATATATATATATATATATATATATATATATATATATATACACATTTATACATATATATATATATATATATATATATATATATATATATATATATATATATATATATATATATATATATATATATATATATATATATATATATATATATATATATATATATATATATATATATATAAAGCCAAAAAATGTTCAACTTTTCTTCATAGAGTTTCTAAAATTGGTAACAGTTGAGATTTTATATATATATATATATATATATATATATATATATATATATATATATATATATATATATATACAAAATATACATATATATATATATATATATATATATAAATATATATATATATATTATATATATAAAATATACATATATATATATATATATATATATATATATATATATATATATTTATTTATATATATATATATATATATATATATATATAAAATATACATATATATATATATATATGTATATATATATAAATATATATATATATATATATATATATAAAATATACATATATATATATAAATATATATATATATATATATATATATATATATATAAATATATATATATATATAAATATATATATATATAAAATATACATATATATATATATATATATATATATATATATATATATATATATATATATATATATATTATATATATATATAAAATCTCAACTGTGGCCAATTTTAGAAACTCTATGAAGAAAAGTTGAACATTTTTTGGCTTTATAAGTTCCTATTTAGTTTTATAATAAATAATATAAGCATATTTAGTTTTATAATAAATAATATAAGCATATTTAGTTTTATAATAAATAATATAAGCATATTTAGTTTTATAATAAATAATATAAACATTTTGATGTTTTGAACTTGTTTTTGCCTTTCCAATCCACATTTTTGAATTACATAATCATACACAGTATGATTGTATCATATCACTGTATGATATGTACACAGGACAGTAGCAACAAAACATGGATTGGGTGGGAAATAAAACTTTCTATATGCTCTAAGACAAAGCCCTGTAGAGGTTACACGAAACTTTCTGTATGGAAACCATACAAGCATAATTAGAATTTGGGCACAATTTTTTACAAAAATACCCATGTTTTTTTGTGTATAGTATTTTATATTAATATAATTTAAAAGTTATTATTAGATTTCATAAAAATATTGTAATTTTTTTTTGGTTTTTAGACAATTCTAAAATATTATAATTAAACAGTTGAATAACATTTTTTGTATATTTTCTACTAAAGATTCATTTCAGCCTAAGAAAAGTTCATTTTAAAAGTAAAATATTTTTTGAACAACTAGTTGTCAATTTCTTAAACAGAAAGAACACAGTTACAAGGTATACAATGACATAACTCATTTTGGAGTTAATATACAGTTCAAACACTAAAAGAATAATTCAAATGACAAACTCTCCATTAGTTTAACGAAGAGATGCACGGCTGCAGAAAGAGTTCATTTTTACATAAATTTAGTTCAGCAATGGATTTGTTATGGAATTTTACAGAGATAATTAGAAAAATACAATTCCAAAAGTGGAAAATTGAAGATGTTTTAAAGCTAAAGGAAAATGTTAAAAATAAATGCCAGAAGATTCTACACCCAGAAGTAAAATGAATTATTATAGTAGACAATAGCTGTAATGTTGACACTTAATAGCATGATAGATGTTTAATAGCATAGTAGAACGTTTAAAAATCACATAATTTTTTCTCTACCAAAATAACTCTTTTTTATCTGTAATGATTGATTCACACGAAGCACATGCCAGAGATGAACCACACTAAAGAGAAAATTAAAAAAAAAAAAATTTATAACAAATAAAGAAATATTATTCATAATAATAATAATAATAATAATAATAATAATAATAATAATAATAACAGTAATAATAATAATAATAATAATTAAAAAAAACCTTTCTCATGATTCCTAAAAGCTTTTGCATACGCATAGAAGCTGATGTAATCTTAAGAAGATCAATTTTCATATCCATTGTTAGGGGAAGATTAGCTGTCATCCAATAAGAGAACTCTATTGCAAACAAAGTTATAAAAGTAATCTCAAACCTCGATGAAGTTTTTTTAAATATAATTAATCATAATTATATTTTAATTTTTATATTTTAATTAATATATAAATATAATCATTACATTACATAACATAAATATATTATCTTAATGTGACCAATTATGATCACAATACGACACATAATATATTTACAAAATGATCACAATATTTGTTACATATTAAATAACACAATCAAAAAATTAGTACATCATACACATACATTGATGTTATCAATTACCTAACAAAGCACTTGTGATAAAATCAATTATTATACACACATGATAATTCCCACATAAAAATGATCAATTACCACATACATGTATTTGAGTTTTTTTAAAATTTATTTAAAATTTATAAAAATTATTAACAATGTTATGAAAATTAGTACATTATAACGGCATAAATAACTGTTTTCTTGATATAAAAATAATGATTAAATCTAGTAAACTTTACATCAATACATCTTAGAAATTCTACATAAAGTCATATACCAACACTTTCTTTAACGGCATAAAAAACAACATTTCATTTAAAAGTGCTCATTTTATGTTGTTAGCAAAACAATATTGCACCCATAAACAGATACACACAAATATACATACATTTCTGTATGTATATTTGTATAAAAAACTTCTGTTTTCAAATTTAAAAAAAAACAACATACCAACAGGATTTGTTGGTAACTTTTCGATTTCCAAGTTATCATTCCAGCTTCGAATTTCTCTTACCAAGCAATCCATCAAAAAACACTAGAGCATCAAAAAACACTAAAGCATTAGTTAGCTTAGCAGTAAAAATTATAACATAATATATATTTATATAGAGAGTTATTTTTTGTATTAAATAATTTATTACAAATATTTTATATGTGAACACCTTCAGAGTTATGCAACTTTAATTAGTGTTAACACTACAAGAATAACTCTTTTGGATAACAAATATCTTATTTATGATTGCAAAAAATTTATGTATTATGTATTTAATTTATGTAAAAAGTTATGTATTGTTTGATGCTAATGTTCATCGCTTTGGAGTTTTTTCTTTAACAATGTTATTAGCAAAAGCAATCTAACATTCTATCAGAGGTTAAACTACAAACTGTAGGACAAATGTAGGACAAGTTGGAGGACAAGTTGGAGGACAAATGTAGGATAAATACAGTCGAGGAGGCTACTCTTTTTTTGTAATACTTATTTTTTATTTATACCCACATATTTTTTTTTTAATGGAAAGTACAGTTTATAAAATTTAATAATTCAGCTATATAAAATATTAAAAAATATAAATAAAACACAGCACAAAATAGGCAACTGTTTTTAATATTACAGGAAATTTTTCAGTTTTTAATCTTACAAAGAATTTTTCAGTTTATCTGCAAATTAACAAAACTCAATGTTTTTAGAACTAATTAAATTAACTCATTTAAAATCCATTAAAACAGGCTTTAACTGACAAACTTGTGGTTCGGATCACCCTACTTCTGGTAAAATTTAATCCAATACTACGTGCATTATCTCTTGCTGAAAGGGTTCACTTTCATACGCAAAAGTTAGGAGAAACATGACCAAAGTACACAAAAATGTTAAACATAAACCACCATTTTTCACCAGAGTTACTTGCTCTTTATGAAACTAATTTGAATCCAGCTGTTTCATCTTTTGATCTTAGTGTTAATGGATATTATCCTTTGATTCGAAATGACTCCAATAATCACATGCTTGGTTTGGATGTATACTTATGCATCAAATAACCTATTTGTTGAGAAATCAGGCCTGAATTCTCTAACCATTCTTTTATGAGTTTCCACTTAGCTCTTCTACACTCAATAACCTTTCTCTTTATTCTTTATCATTCTCCAAATTGCTGACCAAATTGATCGAACCCTTTTCTCTTTATTCCTTCGCTAATATTATTGTAAAGGTAACTTTAATGCTCATTACACTGAATAGCTCTGAACACTGCAAATGGCAGGTTTCCATGGTTCCCACTATTCAAGGCTAAAAGTAAAGATTTTAAGAAGATTTAAGGATAAATTCTCCTAATATTTAAGAAGATTTGGTCGTGAACGACAACTTTTTGAAAGAAAAAGTAAGGAGAAAACGATTACATTAAAAACCTAATCTTATTTTTTTCAATAATATATATATATATATATATATATATATATATATATATATATATATATATATATATATATATATATATATATATAAAATAAAAATATGCATATATATATAAAATAAAAAATAGGTTTGCAAAATACCAAAAACTATATATTTTCTTCTTTATCAGTTAGTATAATACAGGTCAACAATTTATGTTTTCTAAAATCTCTATAAAAATGCGCTTCCCAAATTCTAAAATCTCTATGAAAATACGAGACCCAGGTTGACATACTTTTAAATAACTCTTTTTTTTGACAATATTAGGAATTTTACCCAAAGTACTGTTTGCTCGGCACCAGAAATTTTTTTTTGTTGACTTGTGTAATCACATTCACTTTTCTAAAATTTCCTAGATAAAAAAAAAAAAAAAAAAAAAGGAGAAATTAAGGAGAGCAGTCAAATTTTAACTTTTTTAAAGGTTATTTTAAGAAATTTAATGAAGTTTTTATAGTTTAAGGATATTTAAGGTTTTTAAGGAGGAGTGGAAACCCCGTCACACTGCTAACTGCTACACTAAAGCAGTCTTTGAGTCTTCAATATTTTGAGCCTAATAACTTAGCCTCTAACAATCAAAACGGATTTTGATTTTTGCTCGACAGCTGACTTGCTAACTGCTGTAACTGTAGGATTCTACTATGTATTAGATAGAGGTGGAGAAGCAAGGGCTATTGCTCTTGATATATCAAAAGTTTTCAATAAAAATTTGGCAGGCTAGTCTTCTCCATAAGCTTGCTTCATATGGTGTATCTGGGAAATTTTTTGAGATTATCAAGCCATTTCTTTCTAACTGCTTTATTAAAATCTTTCTCGAAGGCCAACAATCTTTGTTTCCAGTAACTTCTGGGGTACCTCAAGACTCTATCCTTGTTCCTGTGTTATTTCTTATCTACATTAAAGATCTTCCTGACAATCTTAAATCTAAAGTGGTTTTATTTGCTGATGACTCAACTTTATAATCATTTTGTAATACTCAACTTAAAAATGTCTTGATAAAAAGTCTTCTCTTTTTGATTAAAGAACAGGCAGCTGATCTTGAATAAAAACTCACTTCTGTAACAGCTTGCAGCAGCTTGTGAATTTTAATTCTAAAAAAACTAAGTTATTTACTGCAAACAACAATTGCACTATTGTCAACATTCCTATATTGATAAATGTCAACTCTCCTAAAGAGTCCTCTGCTTTATGTCTTCTTGAATTAATGTAAAATTAAAAAAATCCAATATTTAATTTAAATAAAAAGAAATACCAATGACAAAGAATTTCAAGTTTATTTTAAAAGAAGCTATATATTTTCAAAAAATATATAGCTTCTTGTTAATGACCAACAGTTTAAAAATAAATATGCATAAATAGCATTTTTATCAAAAATTTACTCACAGATTTAGCAAAATTGAAGTAGAAGATAGGGTAATACATAAAAAACTCATAATTATAAATTGTTTAAACTTTTTATTGCCTTGTTTGTTTATGGTTATTTTTTTTCACCTGAAAAAAAAAACTTTAACATAAACTTTGTTTACTTTGTCTGCCTAATACTGTAATTAATGTGTTTGTAATTAAAAAAGACTTCTTTTTCTTTCCAAAAACACAATTTGAGATGTCTGGTTACCCTAAGGTAATTGCATTTACAATTACACAAAAGCTCAACTGTTTGTCAGTGCATTAAAAATTTCATCAGAATTTAATCACATTTATACAAATTCATACAGAGTCATATTCCAGCAAAAATTTTTTCATAATTATATTTAAGACTGTATTGCCTTCAGTCAGAAATACAAAAACTGGTATTGTGGTAGACAAACTGGTAAAATAAGCAATGACTGGATCAATGGATATTAAACCTCATATTTCATCTCAAAAGTAAAGCTCTAAAAATGTTTTGAAAATCATTCCATTTCTTATACGTGGTCGAACATTCCATCTCTTATACATGGGTCTGATCTTATTATTTCTTCCAATAATAATACGGAACTTTTTGCAAATAACTTTTTATTTTTATTTCTTGAATCCAATGACCACAATTTTTGTGACATCCTAAAGAAATAAGTTAATCTTCCTTTCATCCCAAAGAAACAGGTTATTTTTTACTTTTGTACTTTTATGACATTAATTATATTTTTTATTTTTTATTGACCGATTTTACTCAATCACTTTATATCTGTTAAATTCAAAGTATATATAATAAATAAAAATTGTAATAATAAATATGAAAAAAATATAAAATGTAATTAACCTTATATCTGATAAAAATATAGTAAAAAAGTTTGATTTTTCAACACTGTATTAATATGAAGCTTACTGAGTTGTAAAACTTATACACCCATCCAGGAAGGTGCGTAAGACTTGAACATAATTTCTAAAAATAGAAACAACATATTACAGATTAAAATAGAAATAACTTATTACAGCTTAAAATAGAAACAACTTAGGGGTCATCCATAAATTACGCCATGCAGTTTTTAACATTTTTTGACCCCCTTCCCCCTAGTAACGCATCCATAACACTTTATTGCCCCCCCCCCAATATTACACAATTTTTACCCCTCCCCCTAAAAAAATTTTTAAAGTTTTTTTAGAGAGAATGGGAGGGGATGCAAAATTTTACAAAATACAAAACAATTTAAAATATAATAATGTCTATAATTCTCTGAACTTCTTTGGGTTAATTAATTAGTACTTTTTAGTCTGTTTTATGTTTTTTTTCACCCCAATAGTTCCATGTAAAATTGTATAAATTAACATCTCTCTTCTAAGCATGATACCAATTTTAAAAACCTATTTTTCGATATATAATATATGCAAAACATTATATATATAAAATGTATAATAAATAATAACATATTATTAGTGGATTCTGCCTCCGGCTAGTATATTTCATATCTATTTTATATCTCGGTACCGAAAAGTTTTCTTTTTAGTTATTGCACAAAGATTATTTTTTTGTTGCTGCACACTTGTGCACTAACTAAATAAAGTTCTGCACTTGAACCATATAAATTCAATGCGCAGAACATGCACTGCACAAACAGCCGTAACAGCCCGTTGACAGGCTGTAACCATTAACTGGCTGTAACGGAGTGTACACATCGACTAAGTAAGATTAAGGCGTAGTTAATATTACAATCAACATGTAGATACATCAACTGAGGGTTTTGGTTTGGTCAGATTTTAATTAAAAGAACGTCTTCTCTAAAAAAAAAAAAAAATGTTGCATCACAAAATCAAGCCCCCCTCCCCCTTGTAACAAATCGTCACAAAATTGCCTCCCCCCCCTAAATGTGATGTAATTTATGGACGACCCTTTATTACAACTTAAAATAGAAACAACCTATTACAGCCTAAAATAGAAACAATTTATTACAGCTTAAAATAGCTTTTTAGCTAAAATTTTACAATATAAATTATATTATATTAATTATAAATTATATATTTTAAAATTCACTGAAACTTAGACTAATTCTTTTTTAACTATTGTTAAAATGTTAGTTTACACTAAATATAATAAAAAATATTACTCCAACTGTTCTTCTCTGGAAGCCAGCCATATATCGTTGTTCATTATTTTTCAACAAGCTTTTTTCTAAATAACAGCAATTGGCAATTACTTGACTTCTTATTGAACTGGGATGCTGATATATTGTATAAACTAATGATGAGGGAGGGTGAGAATAAATAGTTTCTGGAAGAATTTCAACTGTACCCATTATTACCCTGTAAAATTTAAATTAAAGTTTCAACAAAAACTTGAACAACAAACAAAGAACAAAAACAACAACAAACATCATTACCCATCTAGCTGAGAGCTCTTGCTTAATATTTTAAACCGCTGACGCCCCTGAGCTTTTAAGCTTAGTTTTTTATACCCATACTCCTCGTATTCTCGGAAAGAAAATATTTCACATGTTACACCCACTGACGCAAGAAACACGCCACCATTGTCAGCTTCATCTCTTCTGGCTTCGCCACTTAAAACAAAAATAATTTTATTAAACATAAAACTCATCTTAAAAATTTTACTTGTTCATATCTAGTTTCATACCTTTTTCAAAAATTTTACTTGTTCATATCTAGTTTCATACCTTTTTCAAAAATTTTCTTTGCTCATATCTTTGTTTAAAAGAGAGAAAGGGAAAAAAAGTAGAGACTGATGAAATAAATTTAAAAATAAAAAATCATCAGTGAAAAAAAAAAAAAAAAAAAACTTTAGACAAAAGACAAAAAGTTTGAATAAATTAATTTCATATTTAATCGAACCCGCTGAAGATTTTTTTGAAAAAAATCTTTTTTTACTTAAGATTAGTAGAATTTGTAAATATCAATGAAAATATTTTTTTAGAATATATATGATTGATGATTGTTTCATTATTTTAAAAGATCAAAAAGGTTTTAAAAGAATTTCAGATTTTTATTATTTAAAAGAATAGTAAAATAAGTAAAACTAAAAAATATATAGTTTTTTTAACTAAAGTAATATATAGTAAATTAACTAAAAACTGACACCATTTTGACGATATTTTTTTCACAAACAAAACTCAAAGAAACTTAATTATCAATTACTAATTTGAAGGTATGTCACTGAAGGTAAGAATGTTACAACTATTTTTCAATGTCTACTATGATCTTTTCAATGTCTGCTATGATCTTTCCTAATGTTTTAAATAGTATGTATGGGTAATATAAAGTAAGAGTTTAATTAAAAAATGATTACAAGAACTTTATTTAGCCAAATTGTTAATAAAAAGTAAAAGAGTTTAACTTAAAATAACTTTGTTTAAACTTATAAATTTTTTTTTTTATCTTTCTCATAAAATGTTCATTCAACTTTATCACTTTGAACTAAAAATAAATAAATACAAATCTATTAAAGCAACAAACAAAAAGCTGTTAAAGATTAACTGATCAGCAATCATATTTTCAACAAATTTTAAAATTGGAAAATAAATAAAATTCTTAACCTGTGACAAGAAAATATCACCTCTCTAAACTATCTTTTTAACTATTCAATAACCGATCCAAAATGTAGTAAAAAAACAAGTGATTACTTTTATTCAAAAGTCTCAGATTAAGTCATTTATCAAAAGTTTTTAAGTTTATTTTTAAATTGGTCAAGGGTGGATTAGTTTTAAACTCATTCAATAGCGTGTTCACATATGCTTGCCAATTTTGGGGACAATCTAACCAGCTTACTTTTTAAAGACTAACTTATCTCCAAAACAAATCTCTAAAATTAAATTACTTCCAAAATACTAATTCGAACTGTAGCATACTCTATTTTTTATCTAAAGTCATTAAATTGTGTGACCTGTTTGGAACCAAAATCAAAATAACTTACTTCTTACATTTATCAACTATAGTTAAAGAGAAAATTGTGAATATATTCTACAATCTGCTTTCAACTTTAAATTATCTGTACCTAAATACCAAACTGTTCATCACGGCTATGAATCCATACAACATAAAAGCATATGAACCTGGAACAATCTCCCTTCCCAAATAAAATCTCTTAAATCATTCTCAAAATTTAAAACTGCTCTCTTTAACCATTTTTTAGAAAAATATTGTTTATAAATCTTTATATCTTTTTACAACTTATCTATAACCCTAACGCGGAGCCTTTATTCATCTATTAATTTTTCTTCTTTCTATTGTGGTATATTACTAATTTTAATATTATTTATTAAATTTATTATTTTAAACTGGAATGTTTCAATAGTATTCTTTTTATCACTATTGTTGTTATTATTACTATATTGTTGTTATTATTTTTGTTGTTATTATTATTATAACTAGTTTTATACTATTATTTTTATATTACTATCGTTGTTGTTATTGTTATTATTATTATTATTATTATTATTATTATTATTATTATTATTATTATTATTATTAATGTTACTATTATTATTATTGTTATTACTGCTAATATTATTATTTCTATTATTATTATCATCATTATTATTATTATTATTATTATTATTATTGTTATTATTATAGTATATACTTTTTATAATTCCTACTATTATTTTTTTTATTACTATAACCACTACTATTACTTTATTATTCCTACTTGTATTATATTTATTATTAATATCTCAATCTTATTTTTATTTAGTCTGACAGGTGATACAAATAGTACACATACTACAAAGAGTACATAGTCCTAATTCTAAGTAAAAACCTTGCTGGAGTTAATAACAATAACATTAATTGAAATAAAAATACTAATATTATAAAATTAATCAATAACAGCCATTAGAGTATTAATAATAAGAATAGATGCCAAAAATAATAACAATGATGACACAAATAATGATAAAATTAATAACAATAATTATGACAAAATTAATAGTAATCTAATAATACTAGTAATACACATATATAAATACACACTCACACACAAACTTATATTCATACACACATCTTTGGATATAATAATTGTGTGTGTGTGTATATATATATATATATATATATATATATATATATATATATATATATATATATATATATATATATATATATATATATATATATATATATATATATATATATAGGGGCTGTCCATTAATTACGTCAACAAATTTTTTGAAATTTTTCCCCTCCCCCCTTCTCAACAATTTTTCAAATTTCCAGAGACCTCCCCAGTAAAATTACGTCAACTTTTGATTACCCTCCCCCCCCTCCTCTACAAAGAAGATACGCTACAAACTCAGCCTAATTTTCCGTTATTTAAGCAATGAAGCTCAAAAAAAAAGAAAAAGAAAAATTGTTGACGTCAACTTTAATTAACTCCCCCCCTCCCCCATGTCAACAATTGACAAAAAAGTTCAGACCCCCTCCCCCCTATTTTGTTGACGTAATTAATGGACAACCCCATATATATATATATATAAATATATATATATATATATATATATATATATATATATATATATATATATATATATATATATATATATATATATATAATTATGTCTCTTTAAAACTATTATCTCATTCTTCATCATAAGAATCCCCCTATAATTGAAACTCTTACAACTACCTTAAAGCTGACTGGAAAAAAAAGTAGTCTAGCAACAGGTCGGCAAAAAGTAGACTTGCTTCGGAAAGTGTTCTATACTACATATGTCAGACCACACTTAAAATTCTCTACTAAAGTGAGATCCGCCTATCTTAAATGCAATATAATAAGACTCAAGTAAATCCAGCACTAAACTCCAGCACAGTTTAACTAAAGCTATTACTGAGCTAAAACATCTTTCTCACAAAGAAAGACTCAACATTCTTGAATTAACCACTCTGAAAGCCAGAAGGTAATGTGAAAATCTTATACAACAGTATAAAAATAATAAATGGTTTCAAGAAAGTTGACTTAACAAAATAACAAAAAAAATTTGTTTGTAAAAACCTTTTTATAACAAGACCAAATGTTTTATCAGAGGCAACAACTTTTTCCATCATATCGATTGGCTAAACAAAAATTAAAAAAGATATAATTAAAATTTGTAAAAAACTAAGAATAACAAGTAATGTATATTGTAAAGTATTAATAAAAAATTATATATATTTTATATATATATAGTTTTTTATTAATACTTTAATATAAAATTTTAATATATATACATATATATATATATATATATATATATATATATATATATATATATATATATATATATATATATATATATATATATATATATATATATATATATAGTTTTTTCTTCCATAAATCAGAAGAAATAATTAGATAAGTTATATAATTAGATATTATGTAATTAGATAGATAAGTTATAAAATTAGATAAGTTAGATATTTTATTAATTTACTATTGCTTTGTTCTTTAAGAAGATCAAAGTCTCTTTTTGTAGAATACACTTAACTTAAATAATATTTAAAGCAGCACATAAAATTAAAATTATACATACGGTCTTTTGAATATATATATATATATATATATATATATATATATATATATATATATATATATATATATATATATATATATATATATATATATATATATATATATATATATATATATATATATATATATATATATATACACACACACATTTATTGCTCTGTCTACCATTGCTGATATAAGTTAGTCTTGCTCTGTCTACCATTGTTGATATAAGTTAATCTTGCTCTATCTACCATAGATTTCTTCACAGATTGAAAATTGTGGTTTTCTGATAGCATGTGTTGTTCTAATGATTTATTATAAAAAATGATTGATTATTATAATAAATGAGCACAACCAAAATTTATACAAAACCTGTGAGTGTTAACACTTCTATCAGCAAATGTTGATACAGTATAATTTTTTCAATTAAACTTAAGAGCTAAACAATTTCAACTAAAGTATGGAACATTTGCATAGTTCCATTTTTTACCTTTACTGAATCTCCACATTAACATGTGATCAGAGAAAAACTGAAAAGAATGATAGCTGCTTATGTTGAAAATCAGATTGGGTCCTGATAAAATAGAGGCTTTTGAGTCTCTTTTGATTACAGCATCTCCAGCATTTTGAATTCATTTACCAGTAGTCCTGATAAAATAGAGGCTTCACAGAATTCAGCTGGCAAAATTTTCTGACAAAAATCTTTCAGACAAATTTCAGTTTCCTCATCAAGTTGCTCAAAAGCAATTATTAATGAATGTCTAAAGATAGTATTACAAATAATTGTCCACTTATTATTAAAAATTTTATTATTCAATTATTATTAAAATATTGTCCACTTAGTATTACAAATAAATGTCCACACTAACTCTTACTTCTGATCTTTCTTGGAAACCTTATATCAAATCCGTTGCAAAATTAGCATCTGCTAAAGTTGCTTCTCTTTATCGAGCTCGACACTTTCTTACTCTGGATTCTATTCTCTATCTCTATAAATCTCAAATCCGGCCTTGTATGGAATACTGTTGCCATATCTGGGGTGGATCTTCTAATGATGCCCTTTCTCTTTTAAACAAGGTGCAAAAACGCATTGTAAACATAGTTGGACCTGCTCTTGCAGCCAACCTTCAACCTCTGTCACATTGTCGTAATGTTGCTTCTCTTTCTCTTTTCTACAAACACTATAATGGGCACTGCTCTAAAGAGCTAGCGTCTCTTGTGCCATCTACTAAAATTTATTCTCGTGTTACTCGTCATTCAATTAAGTCTCATCCTTTTTCTGTTACTGTTCCTAAGTGCTCCAAAAACTCTTACTCGTCTAGTATTTTTCCTCGAACATCAGTTCTTTGGAATTCGCTTCCTTCATCTTGCTTTCCTGATTCATACAATTTGCAATCTTTTAAGTCATCTTTCAATCGTTATCTTGTTCTACAATCTTCATCTTTTCTCTTCCAGTAACTTCCAACACTAATTAGTGGTTGCTTGCAGCCTTGTTGGAAGCGAAGATGTTTAAAAAAAAAAAAAACTTCTTGTGAAGCAATCATTAATAATTGTTTAAAGTGAATATAAAAATGATTGTTCAAAGGGAATTGGTTGTGTAGAAATTATTACAGTCATTAACACAAATATCACACCAAATTGGCAGTCAAAAATATACTTCTTCCTTACTTTAGACTTCATTTTTGCAATCGCATTACTTGAACTTATTGTTAAGTATTTTGTTACATTAAAAAATCTTAGAAAATATTTTTTATCATCAATCTTAATTTTAATGAGTACTAATTATTAACGATGTAAAGCCATTGCTAAGCATAACTATACCATTGCTAAGCATAATTAAACCGTTGCTAGGGTATTTTGTAAGTTAAATAAGCAAAATAAGACTACTTCTAGGACTTCTATAGGTTTGAGCACATGTAATTTTTTTTAGATAATGGAAGATGCATGTATAAGGAAAACAAATAACTATTAAATTTCATGGCAAACCTAAGGCCATAATTGTTACGGGTAACCTAACAAAGTGCATTAACCGCAAAAATTCAATTTTTGGCAATTTACTCCTTTCAGGTTCTTGCATGCATATGATTTTTTTTTGTATAAAACTTACACAAAAATTCCTTAATTGTTTTTGAAAACCTTGATGGTTTTCAAAAACAATTAAGGAATTTATGTGTAAGTTATAGCCTTAGGAGAAATTAATGCTCAAAGTATGAGTAAAATTTCAAATTTAGCGGTTTTGAACTGTGATTTCTAGAAAACAAAAAGTGTAATCATAATGAATTTTTATTTTTACTGTAGAATTTTACCCAGAGTAATAAAAATATAAAAAAGGAATGTGTCTCTCAAATTGATGTTGCTAAAATTGTAGTGTTTACACTCCATGCATTGATAATTTCATAAAATTTTGGTACCCAATCTCCTTATTAAGTAGGAATTTACAAACAAAAAATTACCAGAAAAGCCTATTTTCATTATTTTCTACAAAATATCTAAAAATGAAAACAATTTTGAAGACAACACTTCCAGACTTGGCCTACATTTCTTGGTAAATGGCTCTTAAAAAATTGTACTACATATTATTTATAAATAGCATTATGGTTTAATTTATTTAGTATAATGACATCTGACTTTTTTACAGCACAACAAATGACATCTCTTAGTAAATCTTCTGTATGCAATTGTATTGAAACCAAAAATGCTATTTCAACAACAATGATTAAGCATTCATATCCTTTTACTTTGTTATATGTTGGCTGCTATCAATTTTATTCATCCCAAAATTGCTACTAACAGCAGCCAATATGAACAAAGTAAAAGGATATGAAGGCTTCAATCATTGTGGTTGAAAGAACATTTTTGGCTTTAAAAATATTCTTTTTTAGGAAACAACAAACCATCAGAACTGTATACAGAAGAGGCAACAAAAAATGTTAAAATTCTAGATGAATTAAATTACAGGCACAAAAAACTCCAACAAGTTAAGACGAACACAAGTTGGTAACAATTATTAACAAAATAATTGTGTATCAAGACTGATTGTAAAGATATTGAACCATAGCAAAAACAGCTATTGAGAACTGACTATTAAAACTGACCAGAAAAATAAACCAGACTAAAGATAGAAGACTTGGTTACATGGACAACAAAACTCCTGTTGTTTTTGTCAAAAAATGAAAACAAATTAAATTTTTTTTTTAAGAGCTGATAACAAAAATGATAACAATAGACATAATAATAGATGATAATGATAATATCTTGTAATAGTTATCGTAACATTTCAAAATTTCAAGTTTTTTATTTCTGTCAAGAATTGAAAAAATTTATTTGTAAAAGAAGCGTTTAAAGCAAGTGAGAAAATTAAAGTTGTAACACTAGCTCTTTCTCTGAAATTTAAAGAGTGAATTTTGTCAATAATTTTGTCGATAATTTACAATAATTATTTTTGGTTTATACAAATTTTTTTTAGATTTCATAGCACATGGAAAAATAAATTGTATGAGGATTTAACAATGAATTATCAAGAAATAAGACATAAATATCATCAGCTGAAAATATGAAAGACAAAATAACCATAACCAAATAATGAAAGAGATCGAAACATGTCCCTTTAAAAATAAAAATAATAATAATAGTCAAAACAGCTCCTTAGTTTGACAGAGAATATATGCAACTTACATAAAAACGAAGAAAAGCAGAAAAATTGTTTAGGAGAATAAAAATGAAAGTGACAAAAAAGAATTAAGACAACTCATAAAAAAAAAAAAAAAAAAACAATAATTGCTAATATAAAAAAAAGAACATATTTTTCTAACCTATTAAATAAAAACACTACAAGTAAAACTCAAGAATATATATATAACAGCTGATTCTGACAAAGAACTAGCTAACAACTTAAATAATTATTTTACTGAAAATCAGAAAAACTCAGGTCTGGTCCTCAAATATCCCAAACAAAGAAAAACACATCAGATTACAATAGTCAGTTTTCAAGAAATTTTGATCCAATGACATATAAAGAAATTTATAAAATCACCATTTCATTTGGAGTAAAATATTCTCCTGATGATTCAATTCCAGCATATCTACTATGGAATAATTTAAAAACATTTATACATAAATGGGTTGAAATAGTAAACCTATTGCCAAAATCAAGCAGCATGGATTGTCTAAAAAATGCTCCAATAATAAACAAATTAGACTCTGCCACAGATACTGAAGACTTCAAAAATTATAGACCAGTTTATAATATAGTATTCATTAGCAAGCTAATAGAAAAAATAGTTTCCAATCAACTTGATCATGACAACAAACAATCTTCATATAGAACATCAATATGGAAAAAACATCACTCAACTGAAACACTTGAGCTTACAAATGATTTGAACTCTTTGATAAACATACACTCTCAGTACTAATGTTACTTGATCTAAGTGCTGCCTTCGACACTATTGATCAGCAAAAACTATTTGGACCATTAGCCAGTGATATAGGTATAATTGACTCAGCTCACAAATGGTATATTATAGACTTTAGTTAATCGTACACAAAAAATTAAAATTGGTAACTCATATTCCACGAACCAAAATGTAAAATATGGAGCACCACAAGGTACAGTCCTGGGTCTAAAACTCTTTTATATCTATATGAGACCACTATCTGATATCAAGTATCTGAACATAATCAATGTAAAAACTTTTGGATACTCAGATGATCATCAAACTCTAAAAGCATTCCTTCCTCTATCTCAATATAATGTACTAGCCCTAGATATACTAAAATGTCTTGAATGCAAATCTAAATGGATGAGTGAATCATTCTTATGTATTAACCAATCAAAAACAAATGTTTTGAATATCTAAATGGATGAGTGAATCATTCTTATGTATTAACCAATCAAAAACAAATGTTTTGAATATCTAAATGGATGAGTGAATCATTCTTATGTATTAACCAATCGAAAACAAAAATATTATTTATAGCACCACCTAGCCTTCAAAAAGATATTATTAAAGGTACTTTTAATTTAACAAATTGCATTGAGTGAAAATTAGAGAAAGAATACATTACAAGGTCCTTTTAATAATATACAAATTTATTATTCTGGAAGCAACAACTTCATTGTGCAATTTAATTCACTACTCAATGTCAGAAAGAACACTAAAATTAAAAGAAACAAAATGCAGCAATTGTTTTGGTAATCAAACATTATCCCACTATGGTCCTAAACTTTGAAATATACTTCTAAATATCATCTGTGACAAAAGAAAACACAGCTATTTATAAGAAAAAACTAAAATCTTATTTAATAGTGTATGGTGAACTACTCCACCAGAAAACTCTTGAATGTTAAATTAAAATCTCTTGAACATTAATATTAAAAATTTTACATAACATAATAATTTGTTGCAAAGCTAAGCAAGTGTTTTGCCAACTTTATCCGCTATTCTGGTAAAATACAGTAGCTGTGGATAAACATATTTATTTATTAAATTATGCTTAGTGCGAAATATATATATATATATATATATATATATATATATATATATATATATATATATATATATATATGTATATCAGGATGTAAATTAGCCCTGTAGGGCCCCGTCAAATGCGGTTTCCCAAATGCTCAAAAAATAAATGCGGTTTCCCAAATGCTCAAAGAATCCCTAGTTCGAACCCCACCTCTAGGCAAGTTTTGGGACATCGGTTAGGAAGGAGGTGTGAACTTTCTATTAAATGCTCTTCTGGGGTGCTCTGTGATAAGACCGTAAGGACTTCTTGGGGCACCTAAATAAAAGTAAAAAATAAAAAAACGTGTAAAACTTGAAATAAAATTGCTGATATTGGTATAACTAGGTGATTGCATGACTGCTAAAATGTCTCTTGGAAAAAAATTCTTGAGAATTGGAATTTTCCTAGCAATTATAGGAGTTTTCTCAGAAATTAGCTTGTAAAATTTATTTCTCAAAATTTGCAAATAACTTTTTGTATAGCGTTCTAACAAAAGCAAATATTATATAAAAAGGTTAGCAAGAAATAGATTACAATCTAAAAAATAACAAACTTGTTTACTTTAACACCCACAAATGCCATTTTTTAAAAGATTTTCCCTTTTTGGCTGAAAAGTTAAAAACTTATTAAGGCTTACGCAAACTCTACTTCAAGTAGTACATGTGCTTTGTCAATAAAAACATTGAGAGGCCGCCTACATAAATATTGAGAGGCCGCCTACATTAAACTTTGATAAACTGCAGATTTAACGGTAAGTTTTTTATCTTTTTTTTGTTTGGTATTTTATATCAACTGAATTAAGTGATCACATTGACTAAAATCATTTTTTATCTATCTTTTCTTGACTAACTTTTGACCACAAAACTGTCGGCCACCTCTGAAATATAAGTTAAAATACAAAAAATTTTTATGATTATAACAACTGGTACTAGAAATTTATTTAACGAGGAAAATAGATTTCTTTACTTTACTGCTTGTTTTTATTTAAAACATAAATTAAGTATGTATATTAAAAGTAAACTAAACTCGTTTAATAACAAGAATATTTTTTTTATTACATGAAACTGGTTCTAGAAATTTAAAAATGAAGAAAACTGGATTCACTGCTTGCTTGGATTTAAAACGTAAAAGCTAATTTAAATGTTTGAATGAACCATTGTCATAATAACATTTTATGACTATGAATGAAAAAATAATTGTAGGCATTCTTCATTCCCACGATAGCATGCAAGCGCTTGCAATCAATTTTTTTGTAATTAAATGACATTTGTTGTTGTTATTGCTGTGATTTTGTGTTTTTGTTCTTAAATCGATATATTACTTTAAAAATTGCCACTTAATGCCCACCATTGAAAAAGAAATATACATTCAAAAGAATACTCTTAAAATAAAAGCAGCAATGATGTATTAAGATTAAAAATAAATCAAATATATTATTCTTAATAATAATTAATATACACTGATTATTTTATAATATAAAAATATATGATTCTTAATATATCTTTGGAAATGGGAAATTTTGTGTTGATTTCATATTTATCTTCAATATGTTATATTGAAGATAAATATGAAATTTGATGGAATTTTTTTCTTATTTTTGGCACTGTTCAATCAATGTATGCCGTGCTGTAGTGGAGTAGAAGAAGAAAAAGTATATAAAAAGAGGACCCCATAAAATCCCGGAACACATTTTAATCTCAGGGGAGGGGGAGGGGAAGATTAGGAAATATTTTGATAAACTCCCAATTTCGTCAAAACGCTGTATCAAATATATTCCTGGTTAAAACCCTATATATATATATATATATATATATATATATATATATATATATATATATATATATATATATATATTTATATTTATATATATATATATACATATACATATACATATACATATACATATACATATATATATATATATATATATATATATATATATATATATATATATATATATATATATATATATATATATATATATATCAACCCTCTGAATTAGGGTCAGCATTCCGCAATACCAACCTTAAAGTGTTTGAGGTTGGCAAAAAATTGCCGATCTTGTTTCTATGTTTTATGGTAACCCCTTTTTATCAAATTTTTTTTGCAGACCTTATGCCGACCTCGAGCAAAAACGAGGTCGGTAATAAATTGCTGGCCTCGTTTTTCCTAATTCCGAGAGTTGATATATATATATATATATATATATATATATATATATATATATATATATATATATATATATATATATATATATATATATATATATATATATATATAACTCGTTTCTCCGCGCAGCAGCCTTTCTCGTCAAGGTTCGTGTTTCGGAGTTATAGAGTTGAGAGAGGGTTATAACCACAAATAAGTAGCCTCCTCGTCTGTAGTGGCCTTCTCGGAATTAGGAAAAACGGTCGGCATAACTCAACTGACCTTATGCCGACCTCAAACTGTTAGAGGTCGGTATAAGGTCGGCAAAAAAAATTTGATAAAAAGGGGTTACCATAAAACATAAAAACAAGATCGGCAATTTTTTGCCAACCTCAAACACTTTAAGGTTGGTATTGCCGAATGCTGACCCTAATTCAGAGGGTTGATATATATATATATATATATATATATATATATATATATATATATATATATATATATAAAACATAAAAATGAACTATGAAAACACAAAAATCTTCTGTGCAAATCCATTTTAAAGTTTTTCCAAAAGTTTAAAAATTTGCTTAAATAATTCATATATATTTTGTATATATTTAAATAAATTATATTTTAGATCTGAGAATTATTTAATTAGAGAAATTGGTCATCTTCCAAAACCAAAAAATTGTTTGAATGGGAATTTAATTAATAAGCCACTGATGGATTTTTTAAAATTATGTCAGAGAAAGCAAATATTAGGAAGATATCATTTTCTTTTCTTTTACAAATTTAAGTTGAAATTAAAGCTGCTAACAAGACTTCAAGCAACCTTGAATTAAGTTAGGATTTAAAAAACAAAACAAAGAAGAGAGTTAAAGAGAAAGAAAGCATTTGACAGTAGACTTCAAAGACTATAAACTATATAAATCTAAAAAATATTTTTCAACCAGAAGCCATAAAACGTTGACAATATTTCTTGTCAACAATTCATATCATCGCACTATTATGAAGTAAAAAAACGTAATGTATTCATTCTGTAGAAAATAACAACTAATCGTTTATCTGAAAAAAAACCAAATTTAAACAAACAAAAAATTCAAAAAAAAAAAATACCTGAGGATGAAACAAATTTAAAGGCAAGATTTGTCCAGGTACAATGATAATTCCTGCCTGATAAAATAAAGGAAGCGTTATTATTGCTCCTTCTTCATGAATCTGGCGACCACTAAGTTCATTCATTCCGCTTCCCATGTACTAAAATTGTAAGTCATATGAAAAAATAGATGCAACAATAACAATATGACACAGTAATTTTACAATGACAAAATAAGCATACAATAACACAGTAAGCATACAGTGACTAATAAAAACACAATGAAACAGTAAACATAAAGTGACACAGTAAGAATACAATGACCCATTAGACATACCATGACACAGTAAATGTTAAAGAAATACAAAAAAGAAAAAAAAAAAGATTTGAAAATATAAAATAAAAAGATATTAAAACAATTTATAAAGTAAAATACATTACAAATTTTTTATTTGCAAATATTTAATCTATAACAACACACTTATTTATGTGTTGTTATAGATTAAATAATTGCATATATTATATAGAAGGACACAGTAAGCATACAATGACCCGTTAAGCATACAATAACACAGTAAATGTTAATGAAACACACAAAAAAAAAGAAATAAAAAAAATATAAATGATATAAAAACATAAAATTAAATACTACAACAATTTATAAAGTAAAATACAGTTACTTATGTAGTTATAGATAAAATAATTGCATATATTATAAATGATAGTATTTATTATAAAACAACTTTGAATGCTCAAAATCTACTAAAGCTTTATAAGGTTGACATTTTGTGTGTATTTTCTTTAGTTCAGCACAAACTTTCTTTAGTTTAGCACAAATATTGGACAAATAAAAAAAATTTATTTTTCCAAAATTTGTCTTGTCTAAATATTTATTTATCAATCTAAAAATGACATTATTAAAAATATTTTATAATTAATATGACTTATATGTTTCTATTTCTTTTACAGAAGATTAAAGCTTTAATGAACATTGTGATTAAACCTCACTGTTTTAGATTTAATCTCATTACTTTAGGATTCATTGTGGAGTGGCCATATCTTTCAAAGTTTGTGATTTTAAATTTTTACAAATTTTGTATTTTTTGTATATGGCTAATATGAAATTTGTTAGTTATTATTTACTACACCTTTTCAAGATGTAATTGAGAAAACAAAAATTGTAATTAAGAAACGTAAGATGTAATTGAGAAAACGTAAGTTGTAATTAAGAAACATAAGATGTAATTTAGAAAACGAAAATTGTTATTAAGAATCGTAACATGTAATTGAGAAAATGTAAGTTGTAATTAAGAAATAGAAAGATGTAATTGAGAACACGAAAATTTTAATTTAGATATCACTTTAAAGGAGTAAGTGTAAAATGGCGCTTAAAAAAAATGGCGCGTAAAAAAATGGAGCGTATGTAAATGACGCAAGATTTGTAGCGTAAATTTAATTTTTTAGGGAAAAATTTAGGGAAAAATTTATAATTTTTGGGCAAATGAATTTAACATAATAAACACTAAAAACATTTTAGGGAAAAATTTATAATTCAATTAAAAATTATAATTAAAAATTATATAATTAAAAATCACTTCATTGATCATTTAAGCACCAACTTGTACGTCTTCCATATTTAAAATAGTTGCATAGTGCGTGGTTGTGTGTTGTACCGCACGTGCACAATCTCCTCCCATTATAGTATTTTTCGCCTCAATTACAATTCGTTCTAAGTACTGCATGCGCTGTTCCGCAATCCCGTCACCTAATACAGGTGGAATGCGAATTGCATTTTTAACGTTACTTTTAATTTTGGACCAGATCGTTTCCACCGGGTTCAACATTGGACTGTAAGGTCCCAAACGTAACAACTAAGCTGGTGAATTATCAAACACCCTTTGCAAACGAGCGTGACAAGGAGCATTATCTGTTACGACGACCAAATCCTCCAAACGATTCCCGGATGTAACCCACTGGTGAAACATAGCCAACATCCACTCGTTACAGGAATCTGCTTTAAATGATCCCCTGCGAGTTTCTATCATGACAACATTTGTAGTTGAAATAGCTGCGATCAAGTGTATGTTTAAACCTTTTGAAGCAGGTACTTTCATAATTGCTCTTTTTCCTTGTCTTGCGTGTCCTTGCGTTTTTCTACAAAAAAGGTTAAAATTTGTTTCATCCAACTAAACTATCTGACGACCATTTGTGATATGTTTGTTGATGTTTCTAACATATTCAGCTCTTTTTTGTTTGTTTTCATAACTGTTCATTGTAGAAGGCTCCTTGCGCACTTTTTTTAATGAGAACAATCTGCCTTCGAGGTAATTTGCTATCGTTGTTGTGCTAACGTTTATGTTAAATTGTCTTAATATCTTTGTTTTGATGGCCACCAATGTTAATTGACAATCATTTTCAATCCATGTTAATGTTTCTTCGATTTGATCTTCGGTCAACTTTTTCAGTTTAAAACCTCCTTTTCCGATGAAATTTGAATTTCCGCTGCGAACCCAATTGCATGCTGTCTTATATTTGATACCTAGCGTTTGCGCGAGATTCACCCAATCTTCAAATCGCTCCGCACATTCAACAACTCTTCTCCTGTCATTTGGAGAAGATAAAACGTAACGTTTCCTTTCAACTTGTTCAGTTGTGTGTATTTCATGCCGACAAATCGGACAACTTGAATCTGGTTGTTCCAGAACTGGACGTAAACAAATTTGGTGACATAAATGTTGACACGGATTTAGCTTAATCACAGACTTTCGGGTCATAGTGTATTGGCATATAACACAATGATCTTTCAATTCCATTATTATTACTTGTGCATACAAAAGCAAAATTTAAGATTATAACTTAAATTCATGTCCAAAAAGACCTTTTGTAACAACCTACAAACTTAGACTGTGAATTTGCTATTTTAATTTATGTGTTCTCAATTACAAGTTACGATTTCTCAATTACATATTATGATTTCTCAATTATATCTTACGTTTTCTCAATTACATGTTGTGTTTCTTAATTACATGTTACGACTTCTTATTTACATGTTGTGTTTCTCAATTACATATAACGTTTTCTCAATTACATGTTGTGTTTCTTAATTACATATTACGACTTCTTAATTACAACTTTCATGTTCTCATTTACATCTTGAAAAGGTGTAGTAAATAATAACTAACATTCACATGTTAGTTATTATTTACTAATAGTTACTATTGGTTGGTATTTACTAGTAAATACTATTGGTTGGTATTTACAAGTAGTTATTATTGGTTGGTATTTACTAGTAGTTACTATTGGTTGGTATTTACAAGTAGTTACTATTGGTTGGTATTTACAAGTAGTTATTATTGTTTGGTATTTACTAGTAGTTATTATTGGTTGGTATTTACAAGTAGTTATTACTGGTAGGTATTTACAAGTAATTACTATCGATTGGTATTTACGAGTAGTTACTAATGGATATTATTTACAAGCAGTTACTAAAGGTTGGTCTTTACAAGTAGTTACTATTGGTTGGTATTTACTAGTAGTTACTATTGGTTGGCATTAACAAGTAGTTACTATTGGTTAGAATTTTTTAGTAGTTATTATTGGTTATTATTTACAAGTAGTTACTATTGGTTGATATTTACTAGTTGTTTCTAAAATAAAATAAAAATAAACTTTATAAAATATAAATAAACTTAAAATAAAAAGACAGTCCAAACCAAAAAAGGCAATGTATGAACACTTGAATGCACTAATCTTTATTTAATTCAGCATATGTATGTCACTATAAATTTATTTAAAGTGCTATAATTTATAATATAAAATTATTAAGTATTAACTTAAACTATTAATAAAAAGTTAGTTTATTGCAACAGTAAAGATAAAAACCAATCTGTGTATTAAGACAAAAAAACTAATAAAAATTTGATTTAACAACCTTTTTGCTTTAACAACCTTTCGGTACATGTATTATACTGACAATATAATTCTTTTTCAGATCTTTTGATGGGTACTACCCTTAATATTGATGGGTACTATCCTTAAATTTGCAAAACTCCAATAGTCACGTGCTTCACCTTTTCCTTTGTTCTTTATTAACCTCTTTCTTCTTAAGACTGCACTCTTTTAGAAGTTATTTCTAATCAAATCAACCATGTCTTTTCCCTTTACCATTTAGCCAATATAACTGTTAATTGTGACTTAAATGCTAATCACAATGAACGGCTTGATACTAACACCACTGATCTAGCTGGCACTAAATCCCATAACTTCTGCATTTGTCAATCTCTTACTTAAATTACTCATTTCATGTCTAATTTTTCAGACAACCCTAATCACTTACCACCACTGCTTGATTTATGTCTCAAAGGTTAGCTTAGCTTGTATTCAGTTTTTCCTTGTTTTCCATTAAGTAGTTCCAACCATCTTTTATCTTGTACTTCTTCTTCGGACTTACCCTATAATCCACTACTTACTACTAGCCTAAAGCTGACTTGGATTCTTTTTGTGTGATGGTCTTTGGGCTGATGCCTTTTCTCTCTCTGCTGATAAATCCGCCTCCTATGTAACCACCTGGATCCAGGTAGGAACAGAAGCTTTTATCCCTTTGGTTTCAAGTCAAGCCTCATCTCCATGGTTTTCACCTTCTTGTGAATATCTTATCTTACCATAATCATTTTTTTTATCTTTTTCAGAAGAATATTTCTTTTGAGAACAAACAGCTACTAATTATTGCAAGAAATCAATGTATGAAGGTGCTTAGCTATATATAAAATAGCTATATATATAAGCCTAGTTCACTAAACCTCATATCTTAGTTCACTAAACCTCATATCTTATCTCAGAAGTTTTTTATATCTTATCTCAGAAGTTTTACTAAGTTCACTAAACCTCATATCTTATCTCAGAGACTTTTGGAAAATTTTGAACAGTTTTAATTACAAAGGTAGATCTAACTTTCCATCTCTTATTCATGAGATCGATTTTATTACCTTTCCCAAAAACAAAGCAGAACTATTTGCAAAGAACTTTTCTCCTAATTGGACTTTTAAATCTTCCTTCCATTCCAATTAAACAGGTTAACTCATTGTTAGACATTCAAATCACTCCAGCTTCCAATGCTAAAGTCATATCTCAGTTAAACTCTTCATCATCTTCATCTATGATA